CGGCTCTGGGGATGTACAGGGGTCTGGCCCTGGTAATGTCACGGGCATCAGTTTCTGGTACATGGCATTACTGACATTTCGAGAATTACTTATATGTTAAGAATCGCCTATTGCTTCTCAAACCACGTCATTGCTGTCGTATTTGGTGTTATTTTCACGTTTTCTGCTAACCCGGTCAGCCCGGCACGTCCCTGTCACGGCGCTGCAGCCCAGCTCGGGCAGCATTACCCGAGTGCTTATAGCAGTGCTCTTTGTTTGGTTTGGTTTTTTTTCTTTTTCCCTTTGGACTTTGTGAGGTAAGAGGATAATATCTTTGTTAAAAGGTTTTTCTTAGGGTCTATATTAAACCTTTATGGAATGGATAAAAAAGTAATTACTTTAATCGCTTGAGGTTTTTCACTGTTTGCGTTCGTGAGGTGCCTCGAATCCTTGGGGTTCCCAAAACAGCCCCTCAGCTGGGCCCTCTCCCCGGGAACAGGGGCCGTAACACAGAAGTACGTTGCAGAATCCCAATTAAAGAAACGAGGCCAAGCAAGGGCACGTTGGGCTGGAAGGCAAATGGCTGGTTTTGCAAGAGCAAGTGATCACATGAGTTTTGAGACCACTTCGTGCTAATACTGAAAAGCTGGTGCCCGGTGCTGTGCAGGTTGCAGGAAGTGAAAAGATGAACTCGGGAAATGTTCCCAAGGAGTTAAAATGTAACAGGTTTGGGAGACAGAAAAGAGTAAAAAGGTATCGAGAGATAAATGGATATTTAATGATTAACAGAAGGACAGTCGTGTTTGCTAAGAATATCTAAAAATGACTGTCAAGAAGTCAGTGTACTTTCTTCTAGGCCCTGTCAGCAATTATCAGCTGAGGTTACCTGGTTGTTATATTTGAAGCCCAGGCAATTGTAATAGGTTAGATATTAGATTTTTGTTTGACTTTTGAGTGGGTGTATTTATACTACTCTGAGTATTAGTTTTAGGTTGAGATAGAATTTCTGATGTTAATATTCCTTTCATAAAATTTGTCACACGTGTCAGAAAATGTCACTGTAGTGATAAGAAAAATAATCCAACAAGTTTTCTTTTTGATTTAAACTGCAAAAGGTTCAGGAACTAAATCCGAGCTTGTTTTGCAAACAAACTAGCTTTGGATTATTTCAATTTCAGTAATCCTAGATAAAGTAAGATTTTTTTTTTTTTCTGCATGCTTTAACTTGTAGTGGAAACTCTGCCAGTCTGGCTTGAAGCGTTTTTCCTATGTTTTTAGGGTTGGGTCAGTGCACCTTGGCAAAGGCAGTCATTCTCATTTGCTGGGTTCAGAAACGGGACCTGTGACAGCAGCCATTCAGCTCCTGCAGTAAAAGGTCTTTCTTGCTGCCAGTTGGTGAGATCTGTACCCAGTGCTTACACAATACATTGAAAATACTAAACCAGACCCTCCCTTGCACTTACCCCCATCGTGGAGCTCCCGGCTGTCCCGGTGTCCCGTGTGCCTCCCCGAGGACCAGTTCCACCATCTCATGTATCTTCACCTCCATGTCTTCTTCAGCTCCACCAGACTTTTTTATTTAGGAAGCTGACTTGCAGTAGAGTTCCTTGTTTCTTGACTGTCCATCCACTTGATTCTCGGGTGTAGTAAATGTCAGAACGGTCTGTTGGGATATCATAGGGATCATGATTTAAAGGAAATAAACAGTTAATATAGGTGGCTTTTAAGTAACAAAGATGCTGTTTTCCTGTCAATACCTAAAGAGCAAAAAAGTAAGGAGAAAAGACAAGATCTTTAAATGCTCTCTGTTAGATATCAGCTGATTTTTATATCCTTTCACTTGTTTGCTACTTATCATGCTTCTGGGCTTGATTTGGAGACCAGAGTTTGGCAAACCTCCACTGGCAACTCTAAATTCTGTTTACTTAACCCCAAAAGTCATCTTCTATACCAGTGTACTCACAGTCTTCCTTCTGAACTCTAAATCAAAATGAAAATGGGGTTGGTTTGGCCTGTTGTCTTGATTGTTGGTTTTTTTAGTGTGTGGTTTGCTTATGGTTTGTTGGTTTGGGGTTTTTTTCCCTAAAGAGTTTTGTCTCAGAGCTGAGGTAGTTCAAGTGACAGTTCAACAATTTTGAGCTCGTTCTACACTCAGAGCAGGTGAATTTGCAGTTGAACATTGACTTCAGGATCCACAGGGCACACTCACAAGTGACACAATATATGATTAACAAATGGAAATGAGCCACTGGATACTGTTTCATGTTTGCTTCTTTGCACATGTGCAGCTGGACTGGCAGATGAACAGACCCAGCAGCACTTGTTACAGACCTGGGTGTGTTAAATGATATCCCAGGGACAAGAGCAAATGTGTGAGAAGGCTTTTCAGGATGAGACTGATTATTTTTACTGTTGTGTTTTGATATATTTTTGATATTTTAAATTGGTTATATCCTAATAAGTCATTGGGCCCAATCAGCCAGTGGACAAATAATTAGGAGGGGATCCCCAGTACAGACTAAGGAATGACCCTCTTCTGGGACAGGAGATCCAGTACCTCCTGTGTTGTATCATTTTGATCTTTCTTCTTCTTCTTAGCCGTTTTATTTCATTTCATTTCCTACTGATAGTTCAGTAACTTAATGATTTATTAATTTTTCACAGTTACTGAAAGCTAAGGGTTTTTTTAGTAGGTGCTGGTGAAGATACAGATTTTATCTTTTTGATAAGTTTCCAGATTTGTGGTGTTAAATTTATGGAATTTAATTTGTAGAAAATTACATTTTTTTCCACATTGTTTTAAGGAACACAGAAATTAATTTATTTGTCTCTTCTACATCCTTTCCTTGTGTTATATGTCAAGACATAAGACACAGAAGACCCAGACATTCCATAAAGTAATGCTGTGTTTTTTACAGTGTGTTGAACTCCTTAGTTTTAATGAGGTTCTCTAAATTTTGATATTTATATATATGGGTCCAGGTTGGTGAGTTTTCACGTAAACTACTGAGTAAGACAGGCTGAAGATTCTGGTAGTAAGGATGTGTGAAAAATCCAAGTGTCTTTAGCATATAGTTTGTGGGCTGGCAGCATTTCCATCTGCCTTGAACAGACAGGAATTTGGATTCTGTACAATGCACTGAGTGTAAATGAAGTCATGGTGTGAAATGCTGAGAGTCAGCACTGCTGAAAGCAGCGTATGTTGAAGTGCAGCATCTGTGAATACAAAGCTGCCCTTCTGGGACACTGTGCAAAATGATGTAACTGAGTGAAAAAGCTCTGCAGAAATACATTCCACCTGCTGGAACTGAGTGTCTCTGCTGCAATACTTCACCAGGCTTGAGTGTGAGGCTTCCTTGACCGTGCTGTGGGACTGTGTGGTATGACAAAAGCTGCTGGCAGCAACAGCCAGAGATCCTGAGGTTTTCTTTTGCTGCCCTGCACCTGTTCTGCAGCTCTGCTACAAAGAGGTGACCCCAAGGAAAGCCTTTAATGCCTGTGGGGTGAGTTTGCAAAAAAATTCCTCTGAAAAATTCAAGTTGCCCTTTGAAAGTGCTTCACTGTTTGTACACTTGCAAAAAGGTCAGATAATCACCTGTTTTTTCTCATAACCTTAACTAAGTATTCCTGTTCCTGCAGCAGCAACATGTCAGAGTTTCATGGAAAGCACAGTGGAATATTTTAAACATTTTTGTTTTAGTGAATTAATATATCTAACTGCTGAAACTCTCTTAGTTCTTAGATTAAAAATATTACACTGCTAAGAGTGTTTGTTTCTGGAAATGTAAATGCCTTGTGCTGAGTCTCAAAGATTTAGGTACTGTGGAATTTACATATCAAGGATGAGACTGTGGAGGTTGTTGCTACTGAAGTAAAATAAATGGTGTTCCCTGCTAAATATGATGATGTTAATGAGTAGTGAGTAAAATTAAAGAGCATTAAGGTACCATTTTTAGTACTTCTGCATTACTACTGCATTAGAAATGCTTGATAGTTTGAAAGTACTAGAAATGTTTGATAGTTGTATCAACACACTGCTGTGATAGCAGCAATATACGGCTCAGGAGACAAATCAAGTTCTAAGCTGCCTTTGCTTATCATTATTATCATTAATATTCCAAACTAATGAACACTGAACTCTGCATCGTCAGTCTGTCCAAACTGAGAATGGCTTCATGATTAAATCCCATTTCAGACTGCACTTGCAGTTCTAACTTGTCTTGAATTTTGGAAGAGCGTGTGTGACTAGGTGAGCTCATTCCTCTTCCAGCAAATGGCATTTCTGAGAAAATACAGGGGGGTTGTTTAGGCTGTGGATCTCAGTTGCTTATCAGTAACAGTAAAATACAGGTCACACACCAGCCAGGTCATACTACAGGACTGTAAAGTAGCTTAGTTTCTAAAAAAAGATCCCTCTTGGCTATGTTAGACTAAAACCATCAACAACAGGATTCAAGAGCTTCTTAGATAAATCACTACCAGTTTGGAACAGGACCAGAATGCAATGTTATAATGGCAAGAAGTTGGGTTTGTTTGTTTTTTTTTCCCTTTCTCACTGCTAGGATTCCAACAGGAAAATTTTCTTGACCTTGTGTCTGGGTAGTTCTTGAGGATGGCAAGCAAAGGACCCACAGCTTCTGCATCAACCAAGAGCTCCAGCACTGGAGGGACCAGTGGCAGCAGCAGCAACGGTCCCGGGGACAACACTAATCAGGACAACACTTTTGAATGTAACATCTGCCTGGACACTGCCAAGGATGCAGTGATCAGCTTGTGTGGGCACCTCTTCTGGTAAGTGCTCCCACCCCCACAGCTCAGCCTGTAGATCAGCACCATCCAGCTGATCCCATAGAATCCTGTGCTTTTTATAATTTCAGATGCCAAATGTCCTGTATGAAATGAGTAAGGACCAGGGGTTTGGTTTGGGAGAAGCTTCTCGGCTGTTGTTCTTTGCTCACGGTCCAGGAGGGGGTTTCTTGCATCTTACACTTCTGTACTTCTGGCCCTTCCTGTAAGAGTTGGACTCGATGAGCCCTGTGGGTCCCTTCCAACTCAGAATATTGTGATTATTTTGTAAAAGCAAACAAGCAGCCCCACACAGACAGTTCAGAGCTCATTGATACTGCTTGTGTTATTTTATTTGTACTGTCTGGCCTAGCACAGACATCTTCTTTAGACCTTTCTAACCTGTGCAGACCTAAACCTGCCTTTGAATCCAGGTCATGGAGGCCAAACTGTAGTTTCTCCCACAGGCTTGGCTGTTTTTTCCTTTGAAACCATAAAAAGGAAAAAAAAAAGGCAATAAGCTTTTCCATGTGGGGTATTTCTCTTTTTCCATGGTATTGCAGTTGTAATAGGAACTTCTCAGTTCTTTGATCTGACATGGAAATAATGTACAGCACAGATATAATACACGTGCAGCATTTCTAATTTGGGTAACTTGGTTTGAATATACTCTTTCTTGAATGTTAGGAAGTTGTTAAGGATTGACATGGCCAAATGTGGGGGTTTGGGGGGTTATTTTACACAGTAGGCTAAATCTTTAATAAAAAGAGGCCTAAAAGAGCATTTCTTTTCTGTGTAAATGTACGTAACATCTGAAAATCCAGATTTTTTATTTGAGGAGATGGAAAATCACTGGCTAATGGCTTGTTAAGATAAAATTAGATTGAATTATTGCACAAAGGGATCTGGAAGAATGGAACCTTAAAAATAGCATGTGTCTTGTCTGAATAGGGTTGTCGAGACCATTTTGAGAGCAGATGGCTGTTTGCAGTTTTGTCTTGTAGCCTTGTTTTCTTTGACCTTTTTTTAATTTGCCATATTAATTTAATCTGTATAATGGGAATTTTTCTGCCCTGAGCAACTGGGTCTGACCCAGCTGACCCTGCTCTGAGCATCAGGTTAGACTACAGGCTACCTGAGGTACTGTCCAGCCTGAGTTATTCCATGATTCTGTGAATGTGGCTGATGTTTCAGCTAAATCTTTTAAGATCCTGAAGTCTCATTACTGACATCTTGCTCATTTGCATCTTAGCTCAGAGATATCTTTCCATGGTCTCAGAATAGCCAGTTTGCACAGTGAACCCCAGGACTGATGCAGCCTCTGTGTGGGCCTTTGGTGTGGAAGGGGACGAGGAATCGAAGGGGATATGCACAGAACCACCTTTGCTGCTTAGATTGTGTAACCTGAAAGAACCAGTGGAGATCAGTCTTGGGCTGTACTTTCAAAAATTACTTTAATGGGAGGTTACAGAACTGGCCCAGCTGGATTCCAGGGTTCTGCTGTGGCCAGGCCGTGCTGTCCGTGTACATTTGTCGGATCGAGTTGTCAGTAACTAATTCTATTTTCCTCCTTTTTCTGCTCTGCGAACAAATTGTCCTGGGAATGCTCACAGTTGGCCTTGTTTACATCAGGTAAGACAGGTTTCCTTTTACTTTGTCTTTCATCAGCTCCTGTTGCTCAATAAAGCCCTTGGTTCTCTGGAGTATCCCCCTCTTTTTAAATGTACTTTTCTTTCCAGGGCAATCACAACCTGCTAATGCAACTGCATGTGCAACACCTTGCAAACTGCTCTTTCAGCATGAAAACTTAATTCTGTTCCACCTGAGCATTTCCAGTATTGGTAGAATTACTGTAGGGGGTTCCTTTGCAGGTTTAAGTGCTGGGTGTACTTCTCTCTGCATTTGTAATGTTTTACATTGTGGTACCTTATGGAAAAGCTGGGTGAAAGGAGGGTGTCTGCACTTAGCCCTGGGCCTATGCAGGACTCTTGGCACTGTTTATTTCTTCATATTTTACTCCAGGGCAGGTCTGAATGTGTGCACATCAGCAAGTGGATCATACCAGAACAACAGCCAAAGTGCCAGCTCCATTTTGGAGAGCACTTGGCACTTATTAAAATGGTTTGCTCTGGGGCTTTCTGAGGAATTGCTAAAGTCTCTCTGCCTGGCTGCAAATGAGGTTTGGATATTGTTGTTTCATGGTCATTTACTAGTTTCCTTATCATGTCCTTTCTTTTAGTGGCTAGAGACCAGGCCAAACAGGCAAGTGTGTCCTGTATGCAAAGCAGGAATCAGTCGAGATAAAGTTATTCCTCTGTATGGAAGAGGTAGCACTGGGCAGCAGGACCCCAGGTAAGAAACCTAAATACAACTATTTTTGTTTGAAAGCTAAAGATGAAACTTTAGTTAGCTGTCTTAAGATTAATCTGTCAAAGTGCTGGATTCATAATTCGTAATACTTTGTCAAAAGATAGATAGAACTGACATTTCTGCCAAATATTTCTGGCTTTTTCAGGGCCTGGGTTTACACACCTCATTTCATGTTCAACTGGCAATTCATTTGAATTTTAACTGGGTGTTAATTATCAGTTACAAGTGGCAGGTTGCAATGATTGTTATCTGGCTGGATAAGCTCCTATAAAATGTTCATGTCCTGAGTTTTTAGCCTTTGCAATGGGACTTCTGTTATTCAAAAGCACAGCAATAATTTGGGGATGTGCTGCTGAAGGTCCAGGAGCTGGGGGTTGGCTCTCTCACACACTGCTCCAGCTCTGCTGCAGCCTGGCCCTGTGGGACCGAGCTTTGTGGTTGCTCTGCCTTATTAGCCAGGCTATTGCAGACACTGCTGTCATGTGTCCTTGCACTTGAGCTAATTTCATAACTTCCTGCAGAGAGAAAACTCCACCACGACCCCAAGGACAGAGACCTGAACCAGAGAACAGAGGGGTAAGTGAAGAAACAAGCTTGGGCTGATGAGCTGTTTTTGTTGATGGTGGTATTTATTCCTCCTGGAGGACACAGTGTGTGCTTGAGATCCTGTGTGAGGATCCTGCAGCTTACACATCTTGCTCATCCCCAGTTGGCTGGTCATGAATCATTCATAGCTGTGGTGTGGCAGAAAACTCCATTCCTACAGTACTCTTTAGCATCCCAAAGAACGGGCTAACTTGGATTGTGCTTTGTGAAAATGGCCCAGTGTGGTATCACTGGAAATGCTCTTCATGCTCAATTGTTTCCCATGTAAATACAAGGAACACTTTGCTTTGAAAATCCATTGTGGAAGTGTGTTTCCATCAAAATATACCTGTCATGGAAATACATAATTCATGTATGAACTGGGATTTCTGGCACTGAAACCTGCTTCTGTAATTTCTGTGGGATGTTACTGTACCATGGCATTACAAGCAAAAGAAAGAAGGTATCTGTTGGATACATGTTCATGTGGAGAGGGATCTCTGGTGTTGTTGAGGAGATGACATGGAGTGCATGTAAACAGCAGCTGGCACAGGCTGAGCAGATGTGGGAGAAGGCAGTAGGACAGTTCTTCAGCAGGACCTGATGAAACAGTGGCACATTTCCATGTAACACAGCCTGGGGTCCTCAGGGAGGATTTATCTGCCTCATGCTGCAGGCAAACAACTCTGCTGGGTGTGATTAAGGCACATTTCTGTATTGAATATGTTGGGAGCTCAGCTGTTAAGGGAGTTGCTGCCTTATTAAATCATCTCCTGCACCTTGTTTGAACCTTTGAGCTGGTGCTGCTGGAAGTCAGAGGAGTCTGGTACGAAGACCAGCAGCGATGCTGCCCTCCTGTTCCCTACAAGCCCTGTACCTGCACACAGAGAGCTTTGCTGTCCCTCATAGTTTATGGCAAAGTCCTTGAGAAGAGTCACAGTCAAAAGACCAACTCCTCAAATCAAGGCTCGGTTCAGAAATGTTTGGCTTTTATTATATGAGTGAAATCATCTTTGTCCTCCCACTGTTGGGAGGTGACAGACCAGAGGGTCTTTCAGAACTGGTATCACTGTTTCAGTTCTGAGATGAGGGCAGGTGGCTGGATTACAGAAGTGTGGGCTCTCAGCAGTTTTTAAACATGACACAACTCTCTAGATCCACACACTGCTGGTCCTCCAGTAGCACAGTGCTTCTCCACAGCAGGATTCATCTCCATTCACAAGACTTGTCTTTTGACTTGATGTGGTGTTTTAGTCTGGATCCCATGGGGTCAGTGTTGCATTGTAACTCTTCCTTTTTTCCTCCTTTCTTTATGTCTTGCATTCCTGCCCCAGGTGACTTTATCTGACACCTTAATTAGAGTCCCCCTGGTAAATTTTTTTTTTTGTACTATTCCTTATAATGCTCTTTGCATCCCACTGGCAATTTATCACTTCACTGAGTGTTTGAATGATGCACATGTATCAAGAAAATCAATGTAGATTATTTTTTTAAAATGCCTTTCTTATAGTTATGTGGCTAATAGCTATTAACACACAATACATTGTTTAGACATTCTAAATAGGATTGGTAATGTTGATTTTGATACATTGGCAAATATCTACTACTTTAAGCTGAGAAATGTTACAGATACACTTTTGTGAACTTGTGGCTTTCAAGCAAAAACTGTGGTTCCTAGTTTTCATTTTCTCAAAGTTTTGGGTTGCTCTGCAAAGTTTGCTACTGTGTGAAACATTTTAAAACCAGGAGAACTAAGGAGATATTTACAATAGTGTGTCGGAGGGAAAGTTGTCAGACAGCATGGCCTTCCTTTAGGTGGAGGAGAGCCAGAGGGAGGGAATGTCTGCACTTCTACACAATATTCTGAAATAGGCTTTAAATGATTGTTACCTTTTTTGTCTCCTGCTGCTTTGTTCTCTGCAGGGGTTCCAGGGCTTTGGCTTTGGTGATGGTGGCTTCCAGATGTCCTTTGGAATCGGGGCGTTTCCCTTTGGTATATTTGCAACAGCCTTCAACATAAACGACGGGCGACCTCCTCCAGGTACCACAGATCCACCTCCACCTCCTGTCACAAACATGTTACAAACTCCCTTGTAACTCTGAAACAAATAACCTGCTACAATGACAGAATGTTCTCAGCAATAACAAGTGCTGTGAACAGAAACACAACATGAGGGCACAGCACAGAACATGGTTTATGGCTGACACATTTTGTACACGGGCTCATAAAGAATCAAGTTTGTCCCTTCCGTATCATTTAAAGGCCCTCCTGGGGGAACAGTGGCACTGGAGAGGGACAGTGGCACTGGAGACTTCTCCCCTTTAATTCAGATGTCTCCTCTGGTACTCAGCAGACTCCCTCTGAAAAATGAGACAAATTGGACTAGAGTTTCTAATAATAAAAAGGAGTCACTAGGGGTGTATGAAGGAGACCTAGATTTTGAAAACAGCAGGAAAGGACCATTTCCTGCAAGATGAGAAGGAAAAATTTAAACGTGCTCTGTACCACGAAATAATGAATGCAAAGATTGTTCCTTTTTCAGAAATTTATCTCTGAGACAGTCATCTGTATTCCACAAGAAGTAACTTACTAGTGAAATTATTTTGCTGGTTTTGATTAACAAAAACCAGTTGGGTTACTCCAAGTGGTGACCTTGCTCTCTGAAAATTAAGTAATCCCTAGAAAACCTCTTCCCCATCTGCACTGGAGACAATCTGAGTCTGTCTGTTTTGAACAAGAAAACTTACTGCCCAGGATTTTCTGGACTTCCTCTGTGAATGGTTGTGCCTGGCAAATCTTCCACCATGTCATATGGCACAGGAATTACGAGGAAGAAACTCATTCTTCATGTCACAGCTGTGTTGCCACAGTCCTGTGCTATCCTTGGGTCCAGTTACCTTCCCTATTAACCATAGTTAAGTGTCCCCTAAAAATCTGTGTGTGTGGTGACTGAGCCAGGAGTGTGTAAATATGTGCTGTTGTAACAGCCATAATTTAACCAACTCCTTTATCTGTTTTTCCTTGGTGGATTCAATGCAGCAGTTCCAGAAAGGCACAGCTTGAGTTTTAGAGCTCATGTGCTTTTCATTAGTTCTCTTGGCCAGGGCTGCACAGCTCTGACCCTTTTACCATTTCCTTGTTCAGAGGTTTCACCTTGGTGGGAAGGAACAGAGGCAGCTCAGGTAGAGGTAGTGAAGTTCTTTGGGAACAGTGAACTTGGCTCAGCACTGTCTACTGTGTTCAGAGTATGCATGATCCTGGAGAAGAGGAAAGAGCTGAACTGTTTTTTGTTTCTTTTTTTTTCACTTCCTGTTTTCCAGCTGTTCCAGGGACTCCTCAATATGTGGATGAGCAGTTCCTTTCCCGCCTCTTCCTGTTTGTGGCACTGGTGATAATGTTCTGGCTGTTGATTGCATAAATCTTTTCCATTATTCTATATATTCATGACCAACAAGGCCACTGAAACAGTTACAAACTGCATCCCCATCCCACTTTAAACCTCTTGGTCTGGTTCCGTAGCTAACTATGGGCTTCAGGAATTGGTGGTACCACAGCACAATGAGGAATCTCGCATTTTGCACCAGAGTTGCAAATTAAACATTGGTTAAAAAGCATATTTCAGCTCAGATATCTTGTACAACAGGTTCCTGCCACAAACCACGGGCCTAGCGTTGAGCTGTGCTCCCAAGGGAGTGCTGCTCTGAAATCCTGTGCCAATCAGTGACACCAGGTCTGTGGGACAGACAGGGACCCCCAGGTAGACTGGGCAGGTCAGGAAACTTCTCCAGTGTGACCAGTGTCTCATGCTTTGCAACCACGATGGATCTGCCAGAGCTGCAGATGTTATTTAATGTCTCCATCAACATCCAGCCTTCTCCAGGAAATCACCTGCAGCACTGCTGACACTCTTTGGGCACAGCACGTGGTGCAAATGGAACCAGGTCCGGAGACTGGTTCCTTTTCCTGCTGTTATTTCCCGGCGTGATGGAAACCCCTTCCTGACGTGGTTCTGACGGCTGCTGGAAGAAGGGATACAAATTTATGCTGCAATTTTTTAAAGCCTGAACATGCTGGAGCCAGACACTGGAAGATTCTCTGGCTGTGGAGCCGGGTGAGGCTGGACACAGCCGCTGCCTCACCCAGCCCAGTTCCTCACTGACCAGCAGTGTTGTCTCCCCTGGCTCTGCACAGCCCCGGGGCTGCACTCGTGGATAATCCCCTCACCCCTCACAACCTCCTCACGGTAGCCACAGTTATCCCCTCCCAGGCCTTTGAGACTTTCTACGCAAGGTCATGTCCTCCAAATAAAATCCTATTACAGATCCGAGATCAGCTCGTTCGGGGAGAGGAACAAAAGGCATCTTTACGAGAGGTTTGAGGCTAAACCTGTCATCCTGTAAAATTGCACAGGAGGAAAAATGAGATCCTGCCTTTGCCAGCACATGCACGGTAGGGAACACTTGGAAGACCTTCTCTCTGCAGGTGCACACAGCTTCTCCGAGCCACAGCAGAACGGCCACAGCACAAGAGTCTCTGCAGTATCTACCAAAGAGTTTAATTTGAAGTGCTGGAGGAGACCACAGCCATTAATGTGCTGAGGGGATATTTCAGAAGGTGAGCACTCTGTAGCCGTTTTGGAATCCTGCTGGGTATTCAGCTTTAAAGAGTACTCCTGATGTATTTGTGTAGATTCCTTCACAACAGCAGATTAGAGAGATTCCCTAGCAAGATGAACAGTTTTCATATTTCTCTGACTAGGCAATTCCACTTTTTTTTTCTCTTATTGTTTTTAGATTGTTTCGATTCAGGTCGCTGATAGTCTCATTGATTTCCTGCAAGATGAATATTGTGACTTCTCTGGTGATAGACAGAAAACTGACAAAACAAATCAACAAATAGAAACTTTGTTTCAATAGCTTGGGGTTTTTCTAGTGTATATGGAAGAGGTTCCTGGGCAGGACACCTTAATTGTTGTAGAAGCTTATTTATGTGATTATAAACTGTTCACTTTTAGTGTCAAGACAGAGGATGACTGAAGTTAACTTGCCTACCTCCAAAGCTCCATCTGGCAAGTAGAATGTTGCAAAGCTTCTGCAGTGTTTTGCCACATGTGGTCAAATTTATACCTGACTGGATGATAATCTGGCACAGTATATTGCTCAACTATTTATAGTTGAAGTGGTGCTTCAGCTTTTGTTGTGTGGCACTTTTGGGAAGCTGAACTTCTGCACAGGGTTCTTCTCAAGTGCATAACATGTAACTGGGGCCCTTTCCAGGAGAAAGGCTGTTTGTGTGGCTGTCCTGCAATGTCGCAGCTTCGGGCTCCTCTCCTGCTCCTCTCCTGCTCAGCCAGCACCACCTGCTGATGGGAAGGGAGGGCCCATGTGGTGGGAAGGGATGGATTCCTTCTCCTTTTTGAGTGGAGAAACTCGCTGCTGGGAGCAGAGGTCGTCCAGGGAGAGGAGCAGTGTATCCCTTGGAAGCCTTTTTCCCATAAAGAGGAGAGAGAACTGACTGCAATAGGTTCAAGAGGTATTGAAACATATTTAACTAGGACTTATGTTTTAAAATACGGAATTTTAATGCATTGGGGGGCCTTCCATCTATGGGTGAGAGATATAATGCATTTAGAGGAGGCTGCAGAAACATGACTGAGAGCTCTTATTTTCGGGCAATTCCAAGATTAAATCGTCTAAAAGTGTTAACGCTTGGTTCCCCCCTTTCCCCGGTGTGCTTTTCTATGTACCCCTGCCCCGCACCCGCCCGCACACGGCCCGGACGGCTCGGTTAGTGCGTTACCGTTCTTCCTTCTCCTCCTCCTCCTCACTAATTTTCACTGTTGTGAAAGTGATTTAGAATTAAAAAACAAAAATGGTTTTACATTGACCGGAGTGCGCCGCCGTTCCTTCGCGGGGCCGGGCAGCGGCGCGCGCGGCGCGCCTCCCTCAGGGGGCCGGGGGCGGGGCCTGCTCGCCGCCGCGCCCGCCACGGCACCTGCGGTGGCGGGGCCGGGGGCGCCAGCACGTGCTGTCATTGGCCGCCAGCGCGGAGGGCGGGGCGACCGGGGCGGGGCGGCGCGGGATGGCGGGCCAGCGGCGGGCGGGCGGTGCCGATTGGCCCGCGGGGAGGGTAGGAGGGCGGGGCGCGCGCGCTTGCGGAGCGCGGGAGGCGGGTACAGCTGCGCGCGGACCGCTGGCGAGGGCGCGGAGCGGGCGCGCCGGGCGCGGGATGGAGCCGCTGCCAGCGTGAGCTTCGGACCGCGGCCGGCCGCGCCGCGCCCCCGCGGAGGGGCCGCCCTCGCACCACGGGCGCTGCGTGCGCGCGGTCACGAGGCGAGCGGCTCCCCCCCGGTCCGTTATGCGGGCGCCGGTGCGTCGTTTGTGCCGCGAGGAGGCACCTGCGGGGTCGGCTGGGCCGCTGCCTTCGGAGCCCTGGTCCTGGCCGGGTGTCAGCCCGTGTCCGGATAGGCGGGCTGCAGCCGGCCCGCTGGTTCCATCCACCGCGTCGCGGCTCCACGCGCGGCGCGGGGTTCCCGGAGTCCCGGTGCAGCGAACCCCGCGGGGAAGCGATGAGAGCGTGGGCCGCAGCCCGCCACGCGGGTCCTGCAGCGCGGGTGCCGCCGACGCCCGGCTGCCCTCGGCCCGTGTCCCGCTCGGGTCCCGCTGTCGCCCCCGGGGCTCGCCGGTGCCCCGCCGGGGCCGCCTCCTCGCTTGGCCGCCCCTCAAAACATTCCTGCCGTCCTGGGGGACCCGGCAGGACCTGCTACATTGATTATGTCCGTTTGCCTTTCCTTCGCGCCGTTTCCTGCTCTGTTTTGTTCATTTCCGTCGTTTCTCCTGGATACTGAACAGTTTCGGTCGGATTTAGGACTGTTCGTTTCCGTTCTGAGCTAATCAGCCTTCCCAGGGACGCTCAAACAAATGTGGCACCGCAGCAGCGTCAGGCGGCTGCTGCCGGGGCTCGGGAGCTCGTGGGTCAAGTCCTGTGTGATGGTTGTGGAGGAATCTGTTGCTTTTAGTGAGGTGTGGCATAGTCCTCGGTCTTTACATGGCTTTAACGGGATCCGCTGACCACACTGACATGTGTTCCTTGTGCTGGTGGCACTGAAGGGGGGGCGTGGAGCTGCAGGGTGTCTGGTTTGCAGGTGGTTTTGGCCTGCAGCAATTCCACAAGTTCAGCTGACTTACAGGGCTTGCCCTGCTTGGAGAGGAGAGTCTCTGCTGCCTGTACACGCAGGTACACGCACGTGTGGCTTTACCTTTTATTCCCAAGCCCGTTTGGCATGCTGAAAGCAATCTGCTTTATAGAAGAACACTGGTAGTGCCAGCTTTTTCCAAGTTTCTCCTAACCCTTACTCTGCTGTGCAGGTCTGAGTTCAGGTGCAATTCTTGGTGTTCTGGAGAGCAGGAGGGCACAGGAGCAGGTGCTCCCAGGTGTGGAGCTGATGCCCGGTTGGGAACAGAAGTGGCAACTTACACCACATGTCCCGTTTGAATGAATCCTCTGAGCCCTGCAGTCTGCAGGGAGATGTTTCTGGGTGCTGCCAGTCTGCTGGAGAGAGTGGTGCCTGTGGCTGAGCAACAAGTGGTTTTCCTCCTAAATCACTACTTGTGTAAAACATGCAAGATCTTCACCTTGGTTAATTTTAAACACTGTCGCTGACCTACACGGTGGGGTCAAAGTGCATGGAAGGCTGGTGGCTTCTGTTTTGTCTACCTTCAAGGAACTTAATGATGGTATTGACTTGCCTGAGCAACTACCGAGTTGTAACGTTCTTTGGAAAATGGAAGTTCGTGGTTTGTGGTTTTCCTTCTCTAAGTGCACTTTTTTCCTTATGCAGCCCTTAATGCAAGCAAACTGTTGGTAGCAGGAAGAAACAGGTTTGAGATCTGCTCAGCACATGCTCACTGTGCCCTCCTGTGCTCATCCAGATCCCTGACTCTTTAGTATGCCCGCACTGCTGTTGGGATTTGGGATAGCATTTATCTGTGTGCCAAATGCTCTTTGTGCACAGGCTTTCATTCTGTTTTCCTAGCTTGCCTGCATCTAAGGAACCAGCTCTGGGGCTTTCTGGCAGTCCTAGCAGAAACTATTATAACTCTATTATAACTATTTTAAGTATTTTCTGAAAGGGCAATAGGCCAGTAGCATCACTCTCTCTTCCTAAGTCTGACAGTAGCCTGGTGTTGGCTGTACAGCCTCTACAGGAATATTCATTCAAGTGGGTAATTCCTTCCCGGTAGTCAAGTTGTTCTCTACTGAATAAAGTTTGCCTTTCCTTTCTTTCAGTTCTGGGAAATCCATTTAATTATACAAATGAGAGCAAACGCTGTGTGCTGAGTCAGTGGTGTGGGGGAAGCAGCAGCGTGGCTTCCTGGCCTAGTGTCGTTCTCTATGGGAATTGTTGTACTGGAGCAGCCAGCCTTCCTGAAATCTCTGCTTTAGCAGAGCTATAACTGAGCTGGTTTATGTGGAAAGTCATATTGCTTCCTTCTCCAGAATGTGAAGGAGCATATGTCATGTCTGAAGAAAAAAAAAAGTAATATCTAAGATGTCAGAGTTTGATTTGGGAGCTCCACTCTCATGAGTTACAGACTGCCTGGTGTTGATTTAGCTTTCCAGGTGTGAAGACTTTCCTGCCAGTTAATTAATTTAAGGTTATTCTTTAAGAGGGAGGCAGCATTCCTTGTTTTCTCTGATGTAAACTGGTTGCTGTTTGTCATGTTATCCCTGCATGCAGGTGAAGAAGTCTGGAGATGTCTGGGATGTGGGGACAGCATCGCTGCCGGGCAGCGCCTCTACAAGACTGTCAACGAAGCCTGGCACATCTCCTGCTTTCGGTAGGTAAAGCTTTGGCCTGTTAAACCCTCCTCGTGCTGTTCCACTGGCTTGGGACCTGGTGCTGAAGTACCTGAGTGAAGTACCAACATAAACCAGGAGCTGTCCCTGTGGTCTCTGTGCCTGAGCTGTTCTGAGCCCTTGTTTTCCAATGTCCCTCAGGGACCAGTGTCCGGTCCCAGCATCAGTCAGACACTGCCTGGCAGAGGGCGGCTGTGCTGACGCACACGGGATAAAGTGCAAATAAAAGCTCTGATTTACTGGTGGCAGCAGAAGCCATGGGCTGCACACTTGCCTTCAGCTGCATTCCAAAGTAGTGCCCAGGCAATTTGCATAGCCTGTTGCTTTGTCCATATGTGGCAGGTGCATGGTGTTATCAGGGTGCTGATACAGGGGAGGGAGGGCAGGGAGATCTTGCCTTTGGCTTTCTCTCCTTTTCAGACACTTAAGACAGACAAACTTCTGAAATCTGTTGGATAATGTTGCTATCAGCAAGGAAAAAAAGGGATATCTGCCATGGGTTTTTCTGGTGGTAGGAGTAATGCCCCTTGTTAGTGTTTCATGAATATTCAGTCCAGTTTTCATGCCCCAGAACCACGTTTCTGAAGAGGCCTGTACTTTTGAGAGGGGTTGAATACCTGCAGCTTCTACTGGCTTCTGTGTTGGCTTGGGTCTGGAGAGGCTAATGTTTTGGATACTGTCAAAGAAAATGGGGGGAGAGGAAGCCAAAGTGTGGCTTTGGAGGAATGTTTGCTGTGCCAAGATAAGCATCTACTGTCCTGTTAAAAGAACAAAATACCCCAACTTTGTTGAAGTGAGGATTATGGTTATTGGTATATTTAAAAGAAAGAAAACATCTCATGCTGCCAAAGCAGTGCTGGCTCTGTTGATTTGAAAATGCTGTGAGTTACAATGTGACATTAATAATCACAATTACAGCTTGATATCTTGACAAATCCCAGTATTTTGGGTTTGAGTGTTCATGTTTAGCTATACTGAGGCAGCTTGTCTTATTCCTGGTTTTTTCTTCTCCCTAAAGAACTAGTATCCTGTTGTTGAGCTTCCCTAGATTCTGCT